TCTATCTATCTATCTATCTATCTATCTATCTATCTATCTATCTATCTATCTATCTATCTATCTATCTATCTATCTATCTATCTATCTGTCTGTCTGTCTGTCTGTCTGTCTGTCTGTCTGTCTGTCTGTCTGTCTGTCTGTGTCTGTCTGTCTGTCTGTCTGTCTGTCTGTCTGTCTGTCTGTCTGTCTGTCTGTCTGTCTGTCTGTCTGTCTGTCTGTCTGTCTGTCTGTCTGTCTGTCTGTCTGTCTGTCTGTCTGTCTGTCTGTCTGTCTGTCTGTCTGTCTGTCTGTCTGTCTATCTATCTATCTATCTATCTATCTATCTATCTATCTATCTATCTATCTATCTATCTATCTATCTATCTATCTATCAATCTATCTACCTATTTATCTATCTACCTACCTACCTACCTACCTACCTACCTACCTACCTACCTACCTACCTACCTATCTACCTATCTACCTATCTATCTATCTATCTATCTATCTATCTATCTATCTATCTATCTATCTATCTATCTATCTATCTATCTATCTATCTATCTATCTATCTATCTATCTATCTATCTATCTATCTATCTATCTATCTATCTATCTATCTATCTATCTATCTATCTATCTATCTATCTATCTATCTATCTTCCGCCCATCTATTGCACTACCCACTCATCCATTCACCCCACCATCCACGATCTATCTATCTATCTATCTATCTATCTATCTATCTATCTATCTATCTATCTATCTATCTATCTATCTATCTATCTATCTATCTATCTATCTATCTATCTATCTATCTATCTATCTATCTATCTATCTGTCTGTCTGTCTGTCTGTCTGTCTGTCTGTCTGTCTGTCTGTCTGTCTGTCTGTCTGTCTGTCTGTCTGTCTGTCTGTCTGTCTGTCTGTCTGTCTGTCTGTCTGTCTGTCTGTCTGTCTGTCTGTCTGTCTGTCTGTCTGTCTGTCTGTTTGGTATTTGTTTGCTAGCACCGGCACCACTTTTATTCCATGCGGATGGACTAATGTTATCCCCACAACCCAACCCTGGTTACGCCCTATAGGCCAACCCCTCCCTCCCTCCTTAGACACTCAGTGTACGCTGTTGGCGTCTACTCCGCCCCCCTCTCCCTTTTTTCGCGCCCCACCCGCGCGTTGGAGATATATAGGCTAGTAGCTGACCGTCATTTTATTGTACGAAGTTTTTTCGCCAGGGACACAGATGAGTATCATTTATTTTCATTTAGTCCGATATAGTCACTTTATAGTTAGAGCATATTTGTGTATGTGTACTGTGTTGTCCTTTATGTGCTGATGAAGGCTAATCGTCGCAACGTCCTTTGTTTGTTTATTGTGATCGATTTTGTAAAGCTAACATAAACTATTTGTTGTTTCTTACCAACTTTTTCTCTTCCCTATAATTATCTACTTCTTTTAAAAACGTATCCTCTACAGGACGTTGCAGAACCAACCCCTACAGCCCTAGCGGTAGTCGCCGAAAAGTCGCTATTTAAGTCGCCGGAAGTACGCAATTGACACTGACTGACTGACTTTCTGCCCCACCAGGACATCACACAAGCGATAAACACCCGATGACACAAAGTGCCACCATGTGGATGAGGATCACCGTGGAGAGGTCCCAGAAACCGCGTTCAGACAATTGGCCATATTTATGGCCTGCCTATATTGCGGCCCCTGGCAAAGCCAGGGTGGGGCTTCAAATAACAAAAAAAAAAAAAATTAATCCTAAAAAGGACGTGGTGATAATTTATAAGCAATTGACACTAGACTGAGACCCTCTTAGGGTATATTTTCGGCCTCAAAAATTTGGGACAGAAATTCGGAGGATAGCCTTGAGCGGCCCTGGTGTTGCCCGGCTCTCTAGCCTGGTGGAATTGAATGTCTGTCAGCCAGCATGTAGTGAAATGCGACTATTTAGGGGTTTGTTGAAGTTTGACCAAAAGGTCAGACATCGCTGCTTAACTGTAAAGAACAAGACTACGTGCCAATCGCTATATTAAGGTCGAATACCAAAGAAGAAAGAATAATTTTACATAAACAATTCTTTTAACTAAGGGAAATAATTTGTTAACACAAACAAAACTAAGGGACATCATTTACATCTAAAAAATATGTTTTATATTTAAACAAATATACACTTTTTTGATTTAGAAGTAAAACAATGCTGAATTTGATAGAAAGAAAAGTAAAACATTTTTTTTATGAACAGTAAAAATTTAAAGAAAAAACATTTTTTAAAAATATTATAATATCCTAATTAATTAAAAAACAAATACATGAAATTTGATTTGGTTTTCTTTTTTTAGTTTTATTAAGATTTTAACTAGTCGAATGTTTTGATGCACTCCGACTATTCACCCAAAAATCTGGCGTGAAAGTCTGTTTATTTGAATGGCATTGTAAAGTGCCATATAGATTTAGAGGAATAACAATGAATGCTGATTATGAACCATGATGGGGATCAAACTTATGATCGCTTGAAAAGTGATAATTTAAACATTTCATCTAATCTACTGGTCATTCAGCTTCTTCTTCTTCTTCTTCTTCTTCTCTTCCACCTTGTACCTCATCGAAGTGTCGGGGGGAGATGTAATGTTCGTTGATGAGCTCTGTCAAGAGCACTATTAAGACTGATGTTCATTTCTGTAAGGCTGTTCTTAATGCCATCACTCCATCTTTTCCGAGGTCTTCCACTCGCTTTATACCCGTTGTAACGTTTTAGTGTGGCTCGCTGTGGCAGATAGTACCAGGGCATTCTTGTTAGGTGTCCAAACCATTTCATTTGTTGTTCTTTGATGACCTGTAAGACTGGCTTTATTCCTAGCATTCGTCTGATTTCATGATTTTGTATTCTGTCTTTCCTTGAAACTCCTGCAGCTCTTCTAAGGCATTTCATCTCTGTTGTCACAATTTTACGTTCATTGGAGGATGTAAGTGTCCACGTTTGGCACTGATAGCATAGTATTGGCCAAAAAATAGTTCTGATAAGATTCACTTTAGTACTCTGAGGTATCTGCTTGTGTGTCAACAGGGGAGATAGTTGGCCCATTACTTGATTAGCTTTGGCACATCTGGAGCTAATTTCTCTGTCCAGTTTTCCGTCTGAAGTAAAAATTGCTCCCAAATACTTAAATTCCTCTGTTTGTCTCAGGGTGTTGTTTTTTAATTTAATTTCTAAATTGTCTTTATGTCTTCCTATCATCATTGTCTCTGTCTTCGTAGTGTTTATTTTCATATTAATTCCTCCCCTTTGTTACTAATTTGATTTAGGTGGTTCTGTAGGCATTCCATATTTTCTGCTATTAGTACCTGGTCGTCGGCGAAAAGTAATTCTGTTATATCTTCTTCCTGATTAAAGTCTGTTTCGCTACATATGGCGTCCATGTATGTTATAAAAAGAAGCGGCGATATTACACAGCCCTGACGCACACCAGAGTTCACTATAAAAGTTCTTGACAACCCTGCCTTCGATCTTATGCAGCATTTACTACGTGTGTACAGGCTTTTGCAAATATTAATGAGATGATTGCCGATTCCTTTTTTCCCCCATATATTCCCACAACATATTCCTGTCGACTCTATCGAAGGCTTTTTCTTGGTCTATGAATGTCAACAAACAAGTCTTATCATGTTCTATTGCCCTCTCTGATAGTTGTCTCAATGTATAAATGGCATCTGTACAACTTCTGTTTCGTCGAAAACCCATCTGTGCTTCTGAAAGTTGATACTCTATCAATGGTCTCAGCCTTTTTTCGATGATCTTAGCATACATTTTCCCAGTGTGACTGAGTAGTGATATTCCTCTGTAATTAGTACATTCCCTCTTAGTTCCTTTATTTTTCCACAGCGGGACAATGACAGTCCGTCGTGGCGCTTGATATGACCAAAATATTTCAGCTTTCGAGAAAGGATGGTTTTTATTAGCCAATCTTTCTTGATGTTCAGATCTTCTAAGATGTCAATATTTCTCATCTTCGTTGTGATATTCTGAGAATCTTTCTATTGCATTTCAGTTCAAAATGCTCAAAAATTCAGTTCAAAGCTCTTAAAATAGATAGTCGAATATGACAGCCTAAGCTTGAGGTGCGAAACATGACGATAATGTTGAAAGGAAAAGGTTGATTAATAATACTAGCAGAATATACAAACATTAAAAAAAATATACGGGTGCGAATCATGGACAATTAATAAATAAACCACACATAAAAATGAATCGAGGCCTCAGAAATGTGATTCTTACTTAAAATTGATTGAACTAACATAAAAAGGAATCCAGCTGTTTTTAAAAACGGCTCGAAGAGAACTTATCACAAACATCAGAAAGAGACAGTTATTATTTGTAGGTCATGTTACGAGAAAAAAAAAAAAAAACTGAAACATGTTGTGACCATTGAAAAGATCTTTGGAAATAGAGAGACAGAGGAGACAGCGCGAGAAGATTCCTGACAGCCGTTTGTCATGGCCGGGAGAAGTATCAACACACACACTGTTACCTGCTGTTGAAGATAACAGCTTGTGGAAAGGCATTATCGTCTACGACACACATAAAGGTACTTGATGATGAGGATGATGGTGATAATAATAATAATAATAATAATAATAATAATTTTTCTATTGCCTGTATGGCGTTGTAAAATATTTTTTCGCCTTAAAAATCGTTTAATTACTTGTAAAAGTAGATCTTACATACAAAACCAGTACAGAATTATACACGTATATTAATGACTGCCAAAATATACTACTATAACCTTTAAGACATACGTTTACAGCGCATTTATTTATTTATTTGGACTCATGTTTAAATTTTATATTTTTTGTAATCATTTTGAGTGCCATAGATTTTGCAACACGCAGTTGTGAAAACTGGCGAATGGCGGCCTATCCGTGTTTACCAAATAAAAGAGATGTAATTGAGCAATACAGGTAGTGACACACACACATAAATATAGACTGTACAAGTGACACACAAATACTGAAATACGATGGCAACCCCTGGAGCCTTCCGTCCCGGGACAGCTGCTATACCTTCTTCCCAAGTCGAAATAAGCGTCAGCTGCAGGTAATCGTAATTTAACTAATTATTAATAATTACAAGTTAAAAATTAAAAAATGGCTCAAATTTAAAATAGGGGGTATTATTACTATTATAGTAATATTGCTCACCGCCTTCTCCAGAGTCCCAGCCATCTATTTTAGCCCCCTCCATGCAGCGTATAGCGGCGCGGGGAATACTGTCGGCGGTGGCGGTATAGTCGCTGGAAAGAGGTCCGCAATTTTCATAATATAATATGTCTGAAGCCCTGTTAGTAGGGTATTTTCTTAGCCTCGATAATTTTGGACCGTTTTTCGGAGGATAGCCGAAAACCCAGTTGGTTACTCTCTTTAGAGTTTATTTTTTGATCAAATCAGTACTGACTTCTGTATGAAACTGAAGCAAACAGAGAAGAGAACTGAAGTTGACTAACTTAGTAAAACAGTTACTTATAATATAAGCTAATTAATTATTTGGGCTATCTTCCGTATAATGGTCCCAAATTATCGAGGCCGAAAATATACCCTAACAGGGCCTCAGTCACAAATCAATTGCAGACTTCTGGTGACCTAAACTTTCGGTGACTGGCGCCACCGCCGAGAGTATCTCCCATGCCACTACGCGCGGCGTGGATTTGGGCCAAACTAGATGGCTGGGACTCACGAGCAGCAGCTACCGCATCTCCTGCAGCTTCCTTCATTTTATTTGCTCGTGAGTCCCAGCCATCTAGTTCAGCCTCAATCCACGCCGCGAGTAGCAGTGTGGTAGATACTCTTGGCGGTGGCGGTATAGTCCCCGGAAGTCCACAATTGACATGTGACTGAGGCTCTGTTAGGGTATATTTTTGGCCTCGATAATTTAGGACTGATATTCGTAAGATAGCCATTATTTGTATATGGTGTATATGCAGAACATAATGCGGAGCTGTAAGAAGAGAACTAACAAATCTCAATGATCAAGAGATGTGGAAAACTTGTGTATGCAGGATACAATAAACATCATTGAACAAACCTGTGTAATAGTCCTTTCTTGAATCTCTTGTTTTTGTTTCTCTGAACTGATTTCAGTGTTTATCTTGAGCATAAGTTTCTGCAAAGAGAGGCTGCCTCTTTTTCTATGACCATGTTTCCATCTTTCTCTATTGTGATCTTTAAGTGCCACCCTGTTCCGTTAGTTGCGTATCCTTTACAGGACCTTGCAGAACCAACCTCAGCATTTTTTGGATTTTGTGGTTTTGCAAATTTTACTTTCAGTAGTTTGCCATTGCTTCTGAAGGGTCAGCTCTCGGTACCACTGTCCAAACCAACACAAGACAAACCGTCCGCAGCTGGCATTGAATCCGGCACCCCGAAGTGCGTTCGCAACGCCCAAGTCACAGATGCCAATTCCACCCTGTACTCTCATCATAAAATTATTTTACGAGCTTCCATAGCTTTCTTGTGTCTTTTCCAAGGTTCTGCCAGCTTTCCTTTCTAGCCTGCAGCTTTGCCCTTACAGATTTTCCTTTTGTATGCTGGTAGTTACTGTAATGAAGAGTAGCTGGTTGAGCGGTTACAACTTCATGCTCTCAAGTGGGAGACCTGAGTTCGAGCCCCAATAAGGTGATGGAGTTTTCTGTTGTGACAGCACTAGCAAAGCGGCCCTAAATCCTCAGACTCACAACCCCGCTGTCTACACCGCCATAAAAATTGTACATTCAGACAGTAGTGACAATTATTGGGATATTCTTTAGTAGGCTTGGCCTCTGCTTTCTTTCTGGATGTTTCCACTTCGTTATGTAAATTTTATCGGTCACTATTCTGGTATGGCTTGTAATGCTTACGGGTGGGCACCTCTTCTGCTGCCTGCAGTATGCATTTGTTAAATTTTAGAACTGCTTTGTTTAGATCCTTATCTATGCTGAGATTTCCAGCCAATGTGCTGGTACAATGCTTGTACATTGTCCTGTCAGCCTCCTTGTTGTTCCACCTTGACAGAGTACTAGTTTCTCTGACTATCAGTTCCACCTTGACAGAGTACTAGTTTCTCTATCTAATTTTCTGCAGTTAGCAAGACTGGTCTGTGGCGCTGCCTCCTGGTTGTTTTCCAACAGCTCATGTAATGTCCTATTCCAAGTCTGGATAATGAGATGCTAGGTCTGGCATAGTAGTGGTGTGTCATGATCTCGAGTAAAAGGTTGGTAGGTCAGTTGGCCTATTAATCAGAATAAATCGGTTCTCCTGCCACTTCTTAAAACTCCCCTAGTTTCTCTCCTGTCTGGTCGAACCCCCAGCTTTTTGGGTGGCTGTTAAATTCTCTAAACAGAATCATCTTTTCTTCTACTGGGATATGTCTAATGCCTTGAGGCGGTCACTTGGGACTTGATATTGTTCCTTATAAGAGTCAGTATTTCACCCTTTTTTCTGCCTTTTCGGGCTGAATGGTGGCACTGAGTGGCCTCTGATTTTGAAGACTGCTTCTTCAGTGAGGTGGGTTTCTTTCTTGTAGACAGCATATATATATATATATATATATATATATATATATATATATATATATATATATATATATATATATATATATATATATACCTCATTTAAAATGTATTCTAACTAGTTTATTATTTTTTTAAATTTTAACCTCCTCTGCCTTCCAGTGGAATAATTTGACTTCTTTCTTAGTTTGTCCAGATGCTCTATTCTCATGTTCCTTGACTCCACACGAGATCCGAGAAGGACCTCCAGTATTTTGGGTTGGACCTCTTTGAGATAGAGGGCCTGGCACTGCTCCTACCTGGGAGTCCATCACAGGGCGAGAGCGATAGTGTTTTGCTGATTTAGACATATTTCCATGACATGTGTGCGTGGCTTCCTTGCCCTGGTGCGCCTCCTGGCTGATTGCTTTCAACCAACACCTTATTTTTCTAGGGTAGACTGTGGTCCTACTCGAGGAGCAGTCTGGTTTTACAGTGCCAGATACTTGCCGTCGCCACTTCCCCTGTTGGTTTAAACAGTTCTGCCACGAAAATGCAAGGAGTTTGACTATTGCTGTTAGAGATAATAAATGCATATTCCTTAGGGATCTTTGATGAGAGTTGAGAGCGCATCTTCGACCCTGGCACCCGTCTATGACAGCAGTTTGAAACCAGAAGAAACCCTAAAATTAATGTTGATGAGAGAAACCAAAGGTGCTGGACTGGATTCCATCCATGATATCTAACCAATTGCACAGGATAGAACAGAATAGACAAGTAGACTGTGAGTCATACGTGATGTATAATGGCACGACCGGACAATGATGATACACTCATTAGAACCGAATATATGACTGCTGCTACTGGACAGTGTAAACATATTATACATCAAGGTGACCAGGGAACGTTATGAAATATTATTAGCATACTGATACAACAAATAATTGCCCTGTGTGGGTTCCTAGGTCCCATTATGGGGAAAACAAGAATATACCCGCTGCCCCCCCCCCCCCCCCCAAACAAGCACGTAGGAGTTGACTAATTGGAGGCTTCCTTCAAAGTCGGAGTGCATCTGCCTGAGAGGCAAGGAACCATTAGTCTGCCTACAAATAAGCAAGATCTGTAAAATGGATGCAGACACAAAACTCAGGTCCTGGAACAAAGCCAAAGTCCAGAAATGCACAAACAGCCAGGTCTGTCAGCCGGTGAACACAAACAACAACAAATAATTATGTTAATAGGTAAACATTAGTAAACAAAGATATTTTTGTTTTTGTTTTGTTTACTTGCCATCAGGGTGCTCAAGGGGAACTCAATAAAATATTTAGTATAATTTAATACTTTGTAATTTATTATTAAAATGTAAACATAATTTGTATTTAAACTGAATACGTCCCTGGAATTCATTTTTGCTTTTCTTACATGTTGTGCATAAACATTAATCAACATGCAAAATTAGTTCCTATTTTAATTTATTTTTGGTTGTTTCCTTGTGTGGGTCAGGAACCTCGCAAATCTAGACATTTTATCCAAGTCAGATCCCATGGTTGTCATGTACACGCTGGATATCAAGACTCAAAAATTCCTCGAGGTAAAATTATTTGTCATTTTATTGATAGTATCTAGCAGTATATTTATATATATATATATATATATATATATATATATATATATATATATATATATATATATATATATATATATATATATATATATATATATATATATATATATATATATATATATATATATATATATAAAAATTTTTAATTGTAATAAAACATTTTTTTTCAACTCTATTGAACTGTGAATAAATAAAGCTTCTTCCCTGCTAATGTTCTGCTGTAGGTACCTTTTAGGTGTTGCATGCTGCCAGGATATGCTAAACAAGTGGAATTAAAGAGATGATTACCTAGCCAATGGAAATCAAGAGATACACTAGCCATTGAGAAATCAAGAGATAAACTAGCCAAGGGAAAATCAAGAGATAAAATAAGAAGGGAAGATCAAGAGATATACTAGCCAAGGAGAAATCAAGAGATATACTAGCCAAGGGGAAATCAAGAGATAAAATAAGAAGGGAAGATCAAGAGATATATTAGCCAAGGAGAAATCAACAGATATACTAGCCAATGGGAAATCAAGAGATATACTAGCCAAGGGGAAATCAAGAGATAAAATAAGAAGGGAAGATCAAGAGATATACTAGCCAAGGAGAAATCAACAGATATACTAGAAAAAGGGGAAATCAAGAGATATACTAGCCAATTAGAAATCAAGAGATATACTAGCCAAGGGGAAATCAAGAGATATAATAGCCAAGGGAAGATCAAGAGATATACCAGCCAAGGGAAGATCAAGAGATAAACTAACCAAGGAGAAATCAAGAGATATACTAGCCAAGGGAAGATCAAGAGATATACTAGCCAAGGGAAATCAAGAGATATACTAGCCAAGGGGAAATCAAGAGATATACTAGCCAAGGGGAAATCAAGAGAAATACTAGCCAAGTGGAAATCAAAAGATACGAGGCACATTTTTTAAGTTAGTCCCGGTTTAAAATAAAAATAAAAAAACTCATCATATAAAATTTGTTTATTGCAGCCAAAAGTGAACCACACAACATTATTTCTCAACCATACTCATCACTGACTTCAACACATTTTTGGTATCATAGCACCAGTTTCCTGATTCCAGTGTCATAGAAGTCTGCAGTCAGTGTCTTGAACCATTCATTAATGCCTGTCTGCAGTTCATCATCAGTTTAAAACTGTTGGGATGCCAGCCACTTCTTTAGGTTCATGAAAAGGTTGTAAACACTTTACTACCAGATCAGGGCTGTAGGGCAGGTGATCAACAATTTCTCAGTGAAATGTTTGCAATAATTGAATAGTTCCATCTGCGACATGAGGTCGAGCATTATCGTGCAGAAGCACAATTTCAGAGGACAACAACCCGTGTCTTTTGTTTTGGATGGCACGTCTAAGTTTTATTAGAGTGTCAGAATAAGCTTTGGCATTAACTGTTCTTTCTACTTTAACTGTTCTTTCCTCTTCAACTGTTCTTTCCACTTCAACTGTTCTTTTCACTTCAAGAAAATCAATAAACAAGACCCTTTTTTGTCCCAGAAAACAGTGGCCGTGATCATTTTGACAGTAGGTGCTTGCTAAAACTTCTTTGCTTTCGGGGACCATGAGTGGCGCCATTACATCGACTGTTACTGTGATTCCATATTTGTGAAGGAAATCCAGATCTCATCTCCAGTAACAGTGTGACCCAAAATTCTTTTTCTTCATTTCGATAGTGCTGCAAATATTTTTTGAGCCAAAGCCAGGCTTTTCTTCTTGTGTTCATCGGTTAACATTTTCGGTACCCGTCTGGCACACAATTTTTTGTATTCAAGGTTTCATATCACAATGTCGTTTTTTAGTGAAAGTCAGTGAAACTTTCAAAAATTAGACAGACAAAAACTTAAATTTTGTGAAATGATGATTTCCCATAATTTTTTAGTTCACTTATTCGGCCAGAATCGCCTGTCACCACACTCTGCCAACCTCTACGGTCTTCATTCTTCATTATGGATTTTTGTTCGCCCTTCTTTGAACATTCAACACCATTTACTAACCATTCTATCAGTCATAACGTCTGGCCTTTAACCTCAATGAGTTGCCTGTGAATTTCTGCAGCACTGTTTTTTTTTTTTTTTTTTTTAAAAAAACCAAACAAACAGATCACAGCACGAACCTCACAGCTGGCTGGAGTATTTATTTTTGCACTTAATATAAATCACTCACACAGCATCAAACAGGATTTCCACAGTTAAAAATAGCACACAGCTAGCTAATGAACCACATAAACATATTGCATTTGCACATCTACATTTTCCATCGGTGTTTGTTAAAATGGGACTTACTTAAAAAACACGCCTTGTAAAATAAGGAGGGAAAATTAAAAGATATACTAGCCAAGGCAAAGTCAAGAAATAAAACAAGAAGGGAAAATCAAGAGATGGGAAATCCAAGGGGAAATCCAGAAGAAAAAAAACAAACAAACATGGAGGAGGCAACTAGAGAGTGAAGTTAAAAAGAAAGATGGGGAAGACATGGGGTGAGCTGTGTGCAATAAGGAAGACTTGGCTTCAGTTGGGTGAGGGCTTATGCTTCACTGGGGGATAAAGGGCAGAAAAGAAGAAGAAGACACAATCAGGGTAGCGTTAGAGACTTGTTACAGTGATATTATTCCATGCTTTCCCTGTGGACCCTATTTACATATGGACAGAATTGTGTTTATGCTTTTTATGGCATGTAAAAGAGTAAAAAAGTAAAAGACCCTTTTTCACGCCTTTGGGCATATAGGGCTAGATCTATATTTTGTAGACTAATTGGCACAAGATGGGTGATGTGGTCAGCATTACGACGGTCGCCTTTACTTCCCGGGACTGCACCTGGTAAACCACCAAAACATGGGTCGACCTGGGAGCCAAGCCAAGGTCATTTTTTTTTTAAAAGTCCAGCTCCGCCAGGGAGCAAACCCGGACCCTCCAATCCACAGGGGAGCGTCTAGCTGCTCTGCCACGGCGACTCCTTTTTTATGGCTTGATTGACTTTTAATTTTTTTTTTTTGAATTTACCATATTTTCAGTATGGCCGGACTGAAACAATCCAGAATGACTTGAATCCAGAGTTTGCTAAAAAGTTTGTGATTGATTACTTCTTTGAGGAGGCACAGAGGCTCAGATTTGAAGTGTGAGATTTGTGGTGGTTCTGTGTCCCGCTTGATAACTGACAATTTGGTATAGAGACTTGACCTAATTACCTCATGGAGTTTAGTTATTTGTTAAATAATCAGCCACTGGACACTGCAGACTCAATAAACACTCATATAAATTAGGTACGAGCCAAACAGCTCTCTGCCAGTGCCTTCGTGCTGAACAGACTCCAGAACATGTCCTGCAAGACTGTCCTCTCTTGGCGGAGCTGCGGAGCAACATATGGCAACACCCAGTAGAACTGACAACTAAGCTTTGGGGAAACATAAGAGACATTGAGATGACATCCCAGTTTATGGCCCACAGTGGATTATGCGCATGACCAGAGATCGCTGAAGAAGAAGAAAATAATCAGCCTGGTGCTGAAAGGCAGAACAGGGTCTAGAGAAAACAATTCTTTTTCTGTAAATTCTTCTTATCAGATGTTTTTAGATGAGAAGGCGGTTTGTCTCTGTGAAGTCTGTGGTGCGACGCATATCTTCCACTGATACCTACAGCTTGGTTTCCATTTGAGTGCCACCCAGCCAAACCTGGGATCTTTCTACTGCATGTAGAGAATGTTAAATTAAGAATTGACATCACAGCACTCAGGACACCCCTATAATCGCTCCGTCCCCATCTTCAGCAGCAAATGAAGAGTTGCAATACCAATGGCACCAGTAACTGTCTGATTGTGTGTCCGCATCACCTTCCCCTGAGTGTTGAGTGTCTGCCAGATCTGCAGTACCATTCTCCTCAGAATGTAATAATCTATCTGTGCCTTGGCACTGTTCACTCGCTCCCAAAGGGTCATCACAATATCCAGCTTGTTATACATCAATTCACCACCAAGTGGTGCAGAGCCGGCCAGTCTATCTGCCTGCTCATTTCTCAACACACCGGCATGACCTGGAGAAAATATCTAAAGGACGCTAACTACCCGGGACCTCTGAAGTGATGCTTGCAACTCTGCATGGAGCACGCCTGTCTCCACCTTCCTCCACAAGCTCTGTGAGTCAGTTATAATGACAGCATGTGTGTACAGTTAATTCTCAAGCCAGTGGGAGGCAGCAGTAATTGCCTCCACCTCCATTCTCAAACTAGACGTTCTGATATCAAATGCGATTCTTTGTTGCACTAAGCGATGTCCATTCACTTTTGCTATGAACCCCTATGCACTTCGTCTGCCTCTAAACACAGAGCCATATAGACAATCACATCACTTGGACAAAAATATCATGAATCATTTGTTGAACTTCTGATTCTGCAGCACCAGTTGGCCAGTCCCTGCACTCAACGATCTAAAGTGATAAGAACCCTACACAAGTAAACTTGCTCTGACACCTTGACCCTCTTCTCACTCAAATTTATCAAGCCTTCACACATGTGCATGTAGAAAGCATGTCTGTAGCACATATCCAGTATTCTCTGGTGCCTGTCCACGTGGGCAAAGTTCGGAATCCCCAATCTTGAATTTCTTCTATATATGGCTGTATGGTCTGTTGCGTCCGCTACGCAGTTTAAATATAATAAACAGATATAACATAATTAAGAAGTTAAATAATCTTTTAAAACATTTTATATTGTTAAAGTTTTTTAAAAAAGGGACCCTTTTGCACTTCAGTCATATGGTGCTAAACCCTGTTTTTCTAAGCTTGTAAGCCAGTTGACTCTCAGTGGGTGATGATGTGGTCAACAAATCATCAGCCTTCTTTATTTTCCAGGACATGTCATTTCACCCATTTTAGGCTAGGTTGACCTAAGAGCCTAGATCAGTTATTATATTAATTCATAAATAAAGACAGACATATAGCCAGATTAAGACTGATAACATTGTTTTGGAACTCTGCACTGGCTGCTGAAGATGAGGACAGAGCACACATAGGAATACCCCGAATGCTGTGATGTCAGTTTTTGACTTCCTTCTATCAATCCATGATGGTGCAGATTAGAAATTAAAAGCTTTAGACTGGGAACCTTGTATTATAATCATTTATTATTAATCCTACCAGACCTGAGGCCCTGAATCTAACTGTCCCCTATACCTGAGCTCCTAGGCATTAACGCGAAAAAACTAACCTGATATACAAAAATATTATTTATATGCAAAACTAGTGGCTAGAATAAGATGAAACTTAGAGACATTGTAGCAAATAGGCTTATCTTTCATCTAGTGCCAATATTCCACCTTTGTGTGCCAATCCACTCAGGAGAATCAGGATTGTTTCATAAAGTGAGCACCAGATGTTGCTGTTTGAGGGACATGCCACCTTCTCCTACTATCGATCTATTTCTAGGTTTATAATTTTCAAGATTCTCCTCATTATTTGAGCAGAATGTGTCAATTCAACTGTAAACGTATTCTTCATGAAATTATGACTCTGCAAAGTCTGAATAAACCAAAGTATCGTTCGCCTGTTGGACTATGAAAAGCCTAGACCTACTTTACTTTCCTGTTGAAGTGCTTGGTTCATCAGCCACTCGGTTCATTGTGAATTTTCATAATTTTTTCACGTAAAACAACAAAAATTTAATCCAAACACGTGCGGGCAGACATCTAGGAAGACTATCCATGAGATCTGATTACGATTGGCTAGTTATTTTTAGTCTGTGATGCATCTTTTTCACGTACTACGCAAATTGTCGAAAATTAGGGACAGCGGTTTAGCGTCAGGTTAAGAAACTCCAGACAAATCGGGTTAGCGGCCTGGTAGGGTTAACTGACAATTTATGTTTTATCTGTGTAAGTAGGACTTGCATGTTATCCTAGAATGTATTATTTTAGCCAATAAATGTTTGTGAGTCTGAAGTATGTAAAATAATAACACCAGGAGAAAGAAATATGTAAAGCAGCACTTGAGGCAGAGTCAGGTAACATAATTATTGGGTGGAGGACAGAAGGTTGAGAACAGTATATCATGTAAATCTTCTTCTTCTGCGTTCATCCAGAGATGTAAATTCACATCATGGCTGCAGTATTTGTGCCTTTTGACTGACACGTCCAACTTTTGCAGGCATTTGTCGCCCGGGCTAGCCTTCCCAGTATCTGTGGAATTAAAATGAAAAAGAAGGTTCATGACCTGGCCTCAGGCTGACAGACTTGATAATCATGATTATGATTTTAGTTGGCATAATATGTCACACAGGGCTCGGAAGTCGCCGTGGCGTAGCGATTAGACGCTCGCATGCGGATCGGAAGGTCATGAGTTTGCTCCCTGGCAGAGCCGGACTTTTTTCAAAAAGGATTTTGACTCCCAGGTCGACTCAGGATTGAGCGGATACCGGGTGCACTCACAGGAAGTAAAGTCGGCCGGCCTGATGCTGACCACATCACCCATCTTCTGCCGATTGGTCTATAAAAGTATAGGTCTAACCCTGTATGCCCTATACGCCTAAAGGCATGGAAAAGGGACCTTTACTTTTACAGGGCTCACAATTTTTTTATTTATTCGATTATATCCTGTGCAATCTTTTGGAATTCATGGATGTAATCCGGTCTGACACCTGTCGCCTCTCATCAACATCCATTTTATAGTTTCTCTCGGACGTCCTCATTCCATTCATTTCCCATTTCCAGTCCGTCTTTTACAATGATGATAGGAAGAACAATGATGATAGGAAGACATAAAGACAATTTAGAAATTAAATTAAAAAAGAAAACCCTGAGACAAACAGAGGAATTTAAGTATTTGGGAGCAATTTTTACATCAGATGGAAAACTGGACAGAGAAATTAGCTCCAGATGTGCCAAAGCTAATCAAGTAATGGGTCAACTATCTCCCCTGTTGACACACAAGCAGATAACTTGGAGTACTAAAGTGAATCTTATCAGAACTATTTTTTGGCCAACACTGTGCTATCAGTGCCAGACGTGGACACTTACATCCTCCAATGAACGTAAAATTGTGACAACAGAGATGAAATGCCTTAGAAGAGCTGCAGGAGTTTCAAGGAAAGACAGAATACGAAATCATGAAATCAGACGAATGCTAGGAATAAAGCCAGTCTTACAAGTTATCAAAGAACAACAAATGAAGTGGTTTGGACACCTAACAAGAATGCTCTGGTACTATCCGCCACAGCGAGCCACACTAAAACGTTACAATGGGTATAGAGCGAGTGGAAGACCTCGAAAATATGGAGTGATGGCATTAGGAACAGCCTTACAGAAATAAACATCAGTCCCAATAGTGCTCTTGACAGAGCTCATAAACAAACATTACATCTTCCCCCGACACTTTGATAAGGTACAAGGTGGAAGAGAAGAAGAAGAAGTCCGTCTTTTTGTAATACTCTGCTGTCTTCTTCTCAGAATGTGCCTAATATAGCTCTCATCTCCTAAGTTATAACTGTTGATACCAGTGGTTGTCCAGAACATTTCTCTTGTTTTTTACCTTTCTTGAATTCATTCCATTTAATCTTCATCGGTTTCTTCAGACATTTGTTTTCAAATGTTTTCAGCTTTAGTGGTTTTCTAACTTTTACTTGCAAGTGTTAAAGTGTAAAAAACATTTGATTTGAAAATATGTAACTTGGTTTTTAGACTATATAATTTAGACTTCCTTATTTTGTTCTGGCTTTTAAAAAGCAGGTGTTTGCTTTTGCAGATGTGTCATAACTTCCCTCTTAATGTTTTTTTTACTATGAAAATAACTAACTAAATATGTAAATTAATCTGTTACTTTATTTTTGTTGTGTCTACTGCTTGATCTGTTAGTGGTGCCCTCTGTATATTTATTTATCTTTTTCTACTTATTTGTAGCCTAATTTTTGATGTTGTATTTGTTAAATCATTTAAAATTCTAACAATTTAACTTCTTGTTTTTAAAACTCAGATATGATATTGATTCTCAGAGCCGGAATCTGAAAGATCATGTAAGTAGCTGCAAAAACGAATTTTGGAGACAAATAGAATTGTTTTGTAACTGTGTTTTTGTTCTTCTTTTCTATACATTAATTTATTATAGTGTATTATCTTAACATGTTCTCTCAAGATTAAATCTAAACATTTATAAGCGATCAATAAAAAAAGCAGACATAAGGAACCTTTTCCATTCCTTTAGGTGTACTGGAAAAATTGGGCTAAATCAGATGAGATTTTTGAGGTTTTGAAAAATGGATCAACATCATGGCACACATTTGTAACCCATAAGTGCTTCGTTCTTCTTCTAACTTAAGTCTGAGTCTGAAGAAGCTCAGCACAGTGCACAGGCTCTGTAGCACCGGCAAGGATCCTGAAATACTTTGGGTAGATTTGTAGCTACAAATTTTGCCCGGGCAGCGCCGTTAGGCTACTCTTTTTGATTTCCAACTGCCAAGGGATTTTTTGCATTGTCAACAATGCACACGGGCGTCCGATCTTGCTACCTAGAGACTAAGGAGAATTACTAGAAGTCCAAGTCCATGTGAAAAAATCCTATCCCTTACCAGGGATTGAACCCTTCACCTCTAGCACTCGAGCTGGACACCATGCCTCGAGACCGAGCAGCCCCCAAATCAGATGATTGACACTTGATAGGGGATCTTCTGTCTTTTTAAGTTGGCCTTTTTCCCATATATGAACATTGGTTTGATACAATAATATTTTTGTATCTTTACAAAACTATTAATAAAATATAATTAAAAAAAAAAAGGAAAACACTCTTTACTGCCTACAGAACCGTGCTTTAATGTGGGATGTGTGTAGGATATTGTGCCTGAGGATGTAGGGCCACATGGCTGGCGCAGTCATTATGAACTGTGTGAGATGCGCCCACACATATGCACACGCACACACGAGTTGGTTATTCAAAATGATCAGTATACTTTAATTCATGTATATTTCCTTGATATACATTAAACATGAATAATATATATACATATGAGAGAGAAATGTCTAAAGTTCCAAATACTACCGATAAAGCACAGTTGCGTAACCAACCACTTGAGTGCTTCTTTGTAAGTGGGATGGGTTAGGCTGTCGCTTAGATGTGTGCCGAGCAGCAGATGACGGCTATATTGAACATCTGTAACCTCTATTGAAAGTTTGTAAACTGTAGATCTTCCTCTGTCTATTTTGTGTATATTATTAATATGTAATGTACATTTAAGAAAGTAGACATAAATGAAAGTGCATCTATCCTGTTGAATAACCTGGTATATATAAGGATTAAGGTATATTTGTATATTTTAAAGTCACTGATGTCATTTAGTTATGATCACAACTCATAACTTGGTCTTTCACTGGAGATATCTGAATCTGTTTTTTTTTTTTTTATGGTTTTTTTTTTTGTGTGGTTTAATTTATAACTAGTATTATGATTAGAACTATGTTAAAATTATGCTATAATTATTGTTTCACATGAGTTTGTTCAAGTCTGATAACTAGTATTATGATTAGAACTATGTTAAAATTATGCTATAATTATTGTTTCACATGAGTTTGTTCAAGTCTGCAGTCCCTGACAAATTTTGGTCCGCAGGATTTCATTGGTTTTGTAGAGTTAACACTAGGAGAAATTGTTGGGACTACTGGTGGCGCTGTTTTGAAAAGGCTGAGGTAAGTCACAGTGGTTTTGGTTGTTGTTATAGTTGTCTCTTCTAGAGAAATGGGTGCAGAGAAGCTGGTGTACCATGATTGAGGTTAATACTGGCCACAACCTCTCTTTACCCTCATTGAGGGTATCCTTGGCCCTTATTAATCTGACAAAGGAAAAGAAGATTGACTATGGTCTGAGCTGTGATGAAGCTTGCCTAGGATTCAAATCTGGTATGCTACAGCATGGCAAGAGGGTTACTTTAATTCCCCATGATAATAGCAGATGCAATCAACCCCCACCCCCCTCCCCTCCATGTTTGCACTCGCAGCTTGCATTGTTCATGAAAATGCTCCGGGTGGGTGGGTTGTTTGCATACCAGATTGGAACTAAGCCCTCATAATTCTGCAAAACCAGTCCAATATGTGTAAGTAAAGAAAAGTAAAGGACCCTTTCCACGCCTTCAAACATATTGGGCCATATAGGGCTAGACCCCTACTTTATAGACCAATTGGTACTTGATGGGTGATATGGTCAACATTATACCTGCTACCTTTACTTTCTGGGACTATAACTGGCTGGGTCGTCTTGGGAAGTCAAATATCGAGATCTGGAAAGATTGGGTATGGAAAAAGATTTCTTCAATGAAATTTTGAACAGGTACATGATACTGTAGAATAAAGACTGTAAACAGATGAACTACAAAAGCCAGTGGCTGTCTCTGTGGGTAGAATACAGCCAGTATCTGATGAACATAACTTCACTGTTGTGTAAATAGACTTTTCTTCACTTGGTAGAAGCACTCTTCAGTGGCTGGTGGGTGTTTTGGTCCCTGGTTTTTGACTTACCTCCTTGTGCCTTGCATGCACTTGAAATTGGTCACCGTGAAACTCTTCTTTTGCGTTTGCCCTTAAAAGGGTCGTTGGCATCTTGTTCTGTGGTTTACAGCTAGGCTGCGATATCTGTGCTTTTCCACCCAACACATCTAATTTCAGCAAAAATCTAATCAGTTGCCTCTTGTTCTTGCTAGTTAGAGGGCAGTAGGAACCCACACCTATGTTATCTGTAAAAGCGGCATGCTTTTGTTGTTGTTTCTGTATCGCAATGTGCAAGAATTAAATCATATTATTTCTGATGAAGTATTTTTAGTTCTTGATTTCTTTTTTGTCCTTTTCTTATGACAGAAGTGAACATGAAGGGAACAGAGGAGAGATTGTATGTAAGTAGAGCTTGTTGGTAGAGTTAGCTTAACTCTTTGAGTCCCAGGGGGTTTAGCATCAGAGGCCCAAGGGGTAGTCAAAAGAGATGTAAAATTGGTGCATCTTGCATTCATTGGGCCTCTCGGCAGGAACCTATGAACGTATGATGCGTTTCTTGAGACGCAAAGAGTTAATAAATAACATGTTTGGTGTGTGAGTGAGTTTGGCACCCACCCACCCACCCCCAATCCCCCCCAAAATATGCTTGCCACCCCTTAACAAGCATGTCTTTAAAGACGCCTGAATAAGGGATTGCTAAAATTGGATATTACAGCGGTGAATGCGAAGAAGAAAAAGAATTCCTCTTCTAGACTCAGTGTATGGACTGGGGTCCAAGTGTTGAAATGGTCAGGCAGTTAGCTTTCAGTCTGAATGTCATGGGTTCAGGGGGGCTGCGTAGTCTCTAAGCATGGTGTCCGCCTCAAGTGCTAGAGGTTCTGGGTTCAATCACCAGTAAGGACTAGGATTTTTTTCACGTGGACTTGGACTTTAGTAATTCCCCTGGGTCTCTGGGTAGTGAGATCGGACGTCCATGTGCATTGTTGTGCACCTAAATAAATCACTTGGCAGTTGGAAATAAAAAAGAGTAGCCTAACGGCGGTGCCCAGACCAAATTTGGAGTTAAAAATCTACCCACAGTATTTTGGGATCCTCGCAGGTGTTACAGAGCCTGTGCTGAGCTTCTTTGGACTCAGACTTGAGTTAGAAGAAGAACGGAGCACTAATGGGTTACTACCCGTGTGCCATGATGTTGATCCGTTGTTCAAACCTCAAACTGTCATAGGTTCATTATCAGACTCTGTTGTTCAGTTCTTGGTAGCAATTTTTTCATTATTTTTAAAAAAAATATCTGAAGAGAATATCATGGGAGCTAAAAAATTTGTGTCTTGATGTGCATAGAGAAACCATGTCAGACTGGACAAAATGTTTTGCACTGATGTCAGTCTTTAGTTGAAACCTTCTAATTTTCAATCACTTTTCAGTGTGCAACTTTTTGTTTTTGTTTTTTTGCTGCATTGAGGAGAATGCTAGACAATGAGTAGTGAAGTGGTTCAAACGCTGTAGTCACTAGAGTTATGGTTTAAAAAAAAAAAAGAATTGTTTTGGGTATGGACAGTAAAAAAAAACAAATCCTGATGTGTTTGAGAGCTTCAAATGTTACAAGATCACTCATAAATAACTGTGTCGGTTCTGCGGCTTCACTTTGTAAAAGAGAGAATAGTCCCACAATCCACCTCACAAGCATGTTATATAGGTGACTCATTAATGAGTGCATCTGCCTGAGAGGCCAGGAACCAACAGTTGGCACACAAATAAACTAGATCTATAAAATGGATGTGCATGTAAAACTCAATTTCTGGAACAAGACCAAAAGTCCAGAAGTGATTCAACAATTGGAAATTTCTGCTGGAGTTTACAGCAGGTGAACACTAAGAAGAAGAAGATAGGAAGAAGAAGCAAATTATGGACAGACATGCAAACAAATATTGATGTTATATATAGCATTGCTTTCAAATGAGTTCATTGATTAAATACGATTATTTTGGGGTGTGAACTCAGAAATATATACACGCATACACACAAACATACATACAAACAAATATTTGCACCCCCTCCCTTTTCCTTTTTTTTTGTTTTATTTGTTTACACACAAGCATCCATGCATATGTGCGTGCACACACACACAGACAATTTTAATAGTTTTTTATTGAATCTTCACAGTAAGAGCAGAAGAAGTCAGCTCATGTAAAGTGAGTACATATTTCTTTTTGCCTTTGTTGTATCACTGAGTATTATGTTGTCTTCAGCTTTGTTTAAAATGGCTTACAGGACAGAATATATGGTGTTGATGTTTCGATCACAGACATAGTGTAACGATCATGCCTCTCCACAATCTGCGTATCAGTTTGTGTGTTGACACTCCTCCATGCCATGACAAAAGGCCGTCAAGAATCTTCTCGCGCTGTCTTCCTCTGTCTCTTCTTTCCACAAATATTTCCAGTAGCCACTACATGTTCCAATTTACCTCTTCTCATAACATGACAAAAAATGTATGCCTGTCTCTTTCTAATGTTTGTGATAAGTTGTCTTTGAGCACCTGTCTCTTTCAAAACATCTGGGTTACTCTTCCTAGCTGTCTAAGGAATTCTAAGGATTCTTATGTAAAACCACATCTCTGAGGCCTCAAGATATTGTATGGCTTGCTTAATAATTGTCCAGGATTCACAGCCGTATATTAAAGACGTAGGGAGACAAATTATGGCCATGGTGTGAACACCAGCAGATGGTGTTAGTTGTATGAAACCTCTTGCAGGTCTCCTCCTGTACAGATTGTTGTATTCCATGAATAAAAGGCTGTTAGATGACCAGACTGAACTGGAACGGGATTTCAGATCTTTCTATGATTTAAAAAAAAAATTACAGGAATTCATTTTGCGGGCCTCAAACATTTGTAGCACGGATTTTCTGCTCGACTTGCTGTGAGCGTGAAGACCATGCTAAGCAGGGTCATCACCACACAAAGCACATTATCACACTTGATATGACCCCACATTTATCACTGAGGCTTATGGGATAATTTTAGTCAGCCTGACTTTTAAAATGTTTTTTGGGGGGGATTTCATGGAAACCCCTCTGAATGCTAAATTTTGTCAATATATTTACAACCATGCCTCCAAAATACAATACAGGTTAAAATCAGTGGCATTTAACTACGCTTTTTGAGAACAGGTCACTGCTGATAGTGACTAGATTTAGTCTTCTTGGGGTGAAAGTGTTGAGTTCAGCCAGTTGCCTGAGGGTGAAATCTTCATCGGGATAACTTTTTTAAAGAGCTTCCAGGTCGACTTATCTTAAAATGGGTAGCAGAAAATGTCCTGGGAAGTAAAGTTGCTGTTGACAATACTACCCATCAAGTGTTGATTGGTCTTTAAAAATATTGTTCTGTCAGCATATGCCCGGTGTATCATCAGTGTGAAAATGGTCCTTTTAATTTTTGGGGGGTTTAAATTTAAGATATTCAGTAGCCAGAATGAAGCGGAAAAACTTCAGACATTCATTAGTTTACTTGGACAGAGGGAGATATAAATCAAATGTCTGCGAACAGGGTTGTCCAATATGATTGGTTGATGTTACTAGATTGGTAGCCTTGGAATGTTGAGTTAAGAATTGACATCATAGCACTTGGAACACTTCCTTAAGATTGGTAGCCCTGGATATCATAAAGTCAAGCTTACAGTATATTAAAGGTTTTTATCCAGGGCTTCTTCTGGTTCTGTATCGGTGACTTTGTACTTTGCCACTGTGCACTTGTCGACTGAATAAGCAGCTCCCCATGTGGGTTTTGGCCCCCTATTATGGGGGAGGGGTGGAATAGACCCACTGCCTACCCAGAAGGATGTCGTAATGGTCGACTAATTGCGATCTTCCTTCGAAGTTGGAGTGCATCTGCCTGAGAGGCAAGGAACCAGCAGTCTGCATACAAATGAGTCAGATCTGTAAAATGGATGCACACGCAACACTCAGGTTCTGGAACAGGACTGCAGTCCAAAAGTGGAAGAACACAGGGAATCTTCAGACTTAAGTAGAATGTAAAGGTAATCAGATTTATCATGACAGCTTGCCTGATAGGGTGATCATCAAAAACAGTGAAGAAGCAGAAGAAGATAGAAGTGATAGTGCAAAACCTTGACTTCTAACCACTCTGTCATGTCATAATTTCGAAACGTTCCCAAGGCGGGCAAAAGAAACGCTGTAAGGACACCTTGAAGTCTTCACTCAAAGCATTTTGGATCATTATTAGTTCTCGTTGTGCCTAGTGGCACATGAGGCTTCAGAGATGACTTTCAGTGCTTTCCTGTCCTGTGCAATCTTCAGTGCAGTTTTCCATGTCAAAGATGCCGCACTCAGGTCACTTTCCATAAGCAATTTGGATAAATGACACTAACTAGGAGGCTGCCTCTCAAGACCGAAATGCATGGCATGCAGCTCTTCACAAAAGCGCTGCTACACGTGAAGCAAATGGAAGCAGGACTGATTAAGAAAAGGATGGACAGAAAGGCCACTGCAGGAGATCCCCTCCCTGGCACAACGCTCATTCCCTGTCCTCACTGTCCAAGAACTTTTTGGGCCCGCATCGGCCTCATCAGTCATCTTCGTACTCATTCTTGATGAAAAAGAGTGGTCATCATCATCTTGATGGACAACACACACGTGTCCTAATTATGGCCAGTTGGTTAAGTTTTATGATGGAGAAAGGGTGAGGAAAGTTTGGGCAGTTTTAAGGAGTAGGTAAAAAATGTATGATAACTTCTTAAGTCTTAAAAAGGGTTGAATAAAAGACAGTTAATGGTTTTTTTTTTTTTACCAGGAAATTGCATCGATACATATGAAAGGCACCGGTTTGGACCAGAAAAATTGGTGGGGACTTTTTGGAAAGTCTGACCCTTTTTTGACATTTTCTCGAGCAAACGAAGACAACAGGTGAGAATTTTAAGACTTGTTTCCAGGCGGCTGCCCTCACGACTGAATGATTATATGGCAATGCTATGACTATCTTCACCAACCAGCTCAGAATATCAACATGCAATCAAATAATGACTTAAACCACAACAAGACTAAGACATTAATATAATCTAGTATTCAAGAAAGGTGGCTGGATACACACACCAGATTTTAACCTAAAAACTCGCTTCTTTGCCTCTCTAGAGAGGGACAGTGTGTTATATTCAGACTAAGGACAGTGCACAACAGACTTCATCAACATATTTTCAGACTTATCGGTGTAGGAAACACGTAGCTGTGTCCCTGGAACGTGGCACCAGAAAATGCAGAGGATGTGCTCCAACAGAGTAAATTTGATGCTGCTAACAGAGAAGCAATCTAGCCTGTAGCAGCCTCAGTGAAGGTAAAGCTGTATATGGTGCATGAGGAGATATGGACTGCACAAGACCTTTAATGAAGGCTACCGTCCTCCTGATACAAGTTTTCTGACGGAAGGATCGAAGAAGAAGGAAGAATGTTGAATGTCAGTCAGATCCTCTAGCCTTTTCCAGCTGAGACATACTCCTCTAAACGAGATTGTTGAAAGCAGGTAATAAATGCGCTATTTGTACTCACTTGTTACTATTAATGCCAGACATGGTCAGAATAAAACAAGATCAGCCAACTTCTTTTTCTTCTTCGCGTTCACCAGTTGTAACCTCTGGCAGAAAGTTCTGCTTGTTTGTCCACTTCTGAATTGCAGTCCTGCTCCAGAACCTGAGTGTTGCGTGTGCATCAGTTTTACAGATCTGATTCACTTGAATGCAGACTGTTGGTTCCTTGCCCCTCAGGCAGATGCACTCGGACTTCAAAGGAAGCTCCCCAATTAGTCGACTCTTACAACCTGCTTTTGGGTAGGCAGTGGGTCTATTCTTGTTTTTCCCACAGTGGGGCCCCGGAAATCAGCCAACTGCTAGAGCATACTACATGAGAACAGCAGGCTACAAGGCAAGAGACAGAGCAAGAAAGAGATGGGTGGAGGGAGTAGAAAAAGTCATTACAGAAACACAAAATGAAATTAACATAAGAATTGCAACTAGCAAAAGACACTACATCTAACTCCTCTCTGTTGTGTTTTACGGCATAGCAATAGGACAAAAGAAGAGGAAGAGGAAGAAGGATGTCAACCAGATCCTCGAGTCACTCCCAGCTGAAACCTACTCCTTTGAATATAATTGTAGCAAGCAGTTACACATGTAAATTGATTTTTTTTAAAAATGTATGAGACATTATTTGCTAATGTTTCTGCCCTCATGTTTGTTTGTGTAGCTACACGGTGGTCCACAGAACAGAGCATATTTTGAGCACTCTGAATCCTGACTGGAAGCCATTCACCATCCCTCTTAGAACTCTTTGCTGTGGAGATTATGATAGGTATGTGGACATAATGTGATAGCTTTCTAAAATCATGTGTTTGGAGGTACTATAGAAGTTTGTGCTAACCGGGTAATAACGGTTCCACCTTCATGATAGATGGGCCACCCCATAGTAGCTCTGCTCCTTTGCCAACAAAAACCACAATCAGAATGTCTGTCACTATCTTTTGTGAAAAAATTGACGCAGACTGCAGCCTTAGTAAAGCTAAATAACATACACAGGCATAAGGCACCCATTAGAAGAGCCAACACAATCTGGCACTAGAAATGCTGTTCATTGTCGATGAAAGCCGCAGTTACAACAGGTCAGTCATCACACGCGCTATTAATCGCACGAGGAACCGTTACTTCTCCCGCCATAGGCCACTAGCCGATTTCTGAATCTGCTGTTCACAACACAAACCAAGTTAGGCCCAGTTCAAAAACATTCCTAACAAAATAGACTGCTCACAGTATCGCACCATACACTCAGCTCAGTAGCTCACCATGCACTCAGCTGAGTAGCTAGTCAATGGAACTATAACCTTTCAACCTACATTTAGAGGAAACTACAATGCCCAACTATTATCAGAAGCAAAAACTTGCCACTTAAGAAAAACAGTAATATTGTCTATCCACCATATTGACAGGAAGTCTTATCGTATGTTTAAGATGTCAGTTAACACAACACAAACTCTGACTAGGAAGCTCTTGTCTTTGCGGAGACTGCAGTCAGTTTATTTCAGAAGGGAGTCAGTGATGGGCATTCTGTGTGTTAGGTAAACAGTGATGGGCATTCTATGTGGATTTAGGGAGACAGTGATGAGCATTATGTGTGGGTTTAGGGAAACAGTTATGGGCATTCTGTGTGGGTTTAGGGAAACAGTTAAGGGCATTCTGTGTGGGTTTAGGGAAACAGTTATGGGCATTCTGTGTGGGTTTAGGGAGACAGTGATGAGCATTAGTGTGGGTTTAGGGAAACAGTTATGGGCATTCTGTGTGGGTTTAGGGAGACAGTGAAGGGCACTCTGTGTGGGTAGAGAAAAACAGTGATGGGCATTCTGTGTGGGTTTAGAGAGACAGTGATGGGCATTCTGTGTGGGTTTAGGGAGACAGTGAAGGGCATTCAGTGTGGGTTTAGGGAAACAGTGAAGGGCATTCTGTGTGGGTTTAGGGAGACAGTGATGTGCATTCTATGTGTATTTAGGGAGACAGTGATGTGCATTCTATGTGTATTTAGGGAGACAGTGATGTGCATTCTATGTGTGTTTAGGGAGACAGTGATGTGCATTCTATGTGGGTTTAGGGAGACAGTGATGGGCATTCTATGTGTATTTAGGGAGACAGTGATGGGCATTCTATGTGTATTTAGGGAGACAGTGATGTGCATTCTATGTGTATTTAGGGAGACAGTGATGTGCATTCTATGTGTATTTAGGGAGACAGTGATGGACATTCTGTGTGTATTTAGGGAGACAGTGATGGGCATTCTGTGTGTATTTAGGGAGACAGTGATGGGCATTCTGTGTGTATTTAGGGAGACAGTGATGGGCACTCTGTGTGGGTTTAGGGAGACAGTGATGGGCACTCTGTGTGGGTTTAGGGAGACAGTGAAGGGCACTCTGTGTGGGTTTAGGGAGACAGTGATGGGCACTGTGTGTGGGTTTAGGGAGACAGTGATGGGCACTCTGTGTGGGTTTAGGGAGACAGTGATGGGCACTCTGTGTGGGTTTAGGGAAACAGTTATGGGCATTCTGTGTGGGTTTAGGGAGACAGTGATGAGCATTAGTGTGGGTTTAGGGAAACAGTTATGGGCATTCTGTGTGGGTTTAGGGAGACAGTGAAGGGCACTCTGTGTGGGTAGAGAAAAACAGTGATGGGCATTCTGTGTGGGTTTAGAGAGACAGTGATGGGCATTCTGTGTGGGTTTAGGGAGACAGTGAAGGGCATTCAGTGTGGGTTTAGGGAAACAGTGAAGGGCATTCTGTGTGGGTTTAGGGAGACAGTGATGTGCATTCTATGTGGGTTTAGGGAGACAGTGATGGGCATTCTATGTGTATTTAGGGAGACAGTGATGTGCATTCTGTGTGGGTTTAGGGAGACAGTGAAGGGCATTCAGTGTGGGTTTAGGGAAACAGTGAAGGGCATTCTGTGTGGGTTTAGGGAAACAGTGAAGGGCATTCTGTGTGGGTTTAGAGAGACAGTGATGGGCATTCTATGTGTATTTAGGGAGACAGTGATGGGCATTCTATGTGTATTTAGAGAGACAGTATTTAGGGAGGGACAGTGATGTGCATTCTATGTGTATTTAGGGAGACAGTGATGTGCATTCTATGTGTATTTAGGGAGACAGTGATGGGCATTCTATGTGTATTTAGGGAGACAGTGATGGGCATTCTGTGTGTATTTAGGGAGACAGTGATGGGCATTCTATGTGTATTTAGGGAGACAGTGATGGGCACTGTGATGGGCACTCTGTGTGGGTTTAGGGAGACAGTGATGGGCACTCTGTGTGGGTTTAGGGAGACAGTGAAGGGCACTGGGCTGTGTGGGTTTAGACAGGAGACAGTGATGGGCACTCTGTGTGGGTTTAGGGAGACAGTGATGGGCACTCTGTGTGGGTTTAGGGAGACAGTGATGGGCACTCTGTGTGGGTTTAGGGAGACAGTGATGGGCACTTCTGTGTGGGTTTCTATGGGGGAGACAGTGATGGGCATTCTATGTGGGTTTAGGGAGACAGTGATGGGCATTCTGTGTGGGTTTAGGGAGACAGTGATGGGCATTCTGTGTGGGTTTAGGGAGACAGTGATGGGCACTGTGTGGGTTTAGGGAGACAGTGATGGGCACTCTGTGTGGGTTTAGGGAGACAGTGATGGGCACTCTGTGTGGGTTTAGGGAGACAGTGATGGGCACTCTGTGTGGGTTTAGGGAGACAGTGATGGGCACTCTGTGTGGGTTTAGGGAGACAGTGATGGGCACTCTGTGTGGGTTTAGGGAGACAGTGATGGGCACTCTGTGTGGGTTTAGGGAGACAGTGATGGGCACTGTGTGGGTTTAGGGAGACAGTGATGGGCACTCTGTGTGGGTTTAGGGAGACAGTGATGGGCACTCTGTGTGGGTTTAGGGAGACAGTGATGGGCACTCTGTGTGGGTTTAGGGAGACAGTGATGGGCACTCTGTGTGGGTTTAGGGAGACAGTGATGGGCACTCTGTGTGGGTTTAGGGAGACAGTGATGGGCACTCTGTGTGGGTTTAGGAGACAGTGATGGGCACTCTGTGTGGGTTTAGGGAGACAGTGATGGGCACTCTGTGTGGGTTTAGGGAGACAGTGATGGGCACTCTGTGTGGGTTTAGGGAGACAGTGATGGGTACTCTGTGTGGGTTTAGGGAGACAGTGATGGGCACTCTGTGTGGGTTTAGGGAGACAGTGATGGGTACTCTGTGTGGGTTTAGGGACAGTGATGGGCACTCTGTGTGGGTTTAGGGAGACAGTGATGGTGGGTTTAGGGAGACACTCTGTGTGGGTTTAGGGAGACAGTGATGGGCACTCTGTGTGGGTTTAGGGAGACAGTGATGGGTACTCTGTGTGGGTTTAGGGAGACAGTGATGGGTACTCTGTGTGGGTTTAGGGAGACAGTGATGGGCACTCTGTGTGGGTTTAGGGAGACAGTGATGGGTACTCTGTGTGGGTTTAGGGAGACCGTGATGGGCACTCTGTGTGGGTTTAGGAAGACAGTGATGGGCACTCTGTGTGGGTTTAGGGAGACAGTGATGGGCACTCTGTGTGGGTTTAGGGAGACAGTGATGGGTACTCTGTAGGGAGACAGTGATGGGCACTCTGTGTGGGTTTAGGGAGACAGTGATGGGCACTGTGTGTGGGTTTAGGGAGACAGTGATGGGCACTCTGTGTGGGTTTAGGGAGACAGTGATGGGCACTCTGTGTGGGTTTAGGGAGACAGTGATGGGCACTCTGTGTGGGTTTAGGGAGACAGTGATGGGTACTCTGTGTGGGTTTAGGGAGACAATGATGGGAATTATTCCTGGCGGGGACTCAAAGAGTTAATATTTTGTGAACTCCTATTTTGGCTCAACTGGGTCTTTGTTTTTTTTTTTAATAAATAGGTCCATCAAGATTGAATGTCATGACTGGAATGCCAGTGGAAGGTATGTTGGTTAAGTATGGGTGTTTACTGTTAAAAAAGTATAGAAATGCATAATTATCCGATGGTGCATTTTTTAATTAGTTTGTAAGTAATATTTTGTACTAGGGTATTAACAAGCAGACTCAAATTTTGTTCACAGTATCAGATAGAAATGTTAGCGTGAATATATGAGTTTTTAAAATCAATACAACGCAGGGGTCATTTATGTGTATGACCAGATTTTTTAGCATCTCATTGTGAGTGCACGAGAAATCAACAAAATTTTGGGTGATTTCTGTTCACTGACCACAGCTACTGAAACCGTATTAAAAAGAGGATAATGTAACACCAAAAGCTTCAGTTCATTTTCAGGCAGACATAAACGGCATCTCTATCGATAAATTTAAAGAACATTGCTGTTGGCTGACTGCAGGCAGGCGAAAGTCAATCGGGTTGCCAGGCATCTTAGTGTGCATCAGAGTTCTGTCAGTCGACTTTGGCACCGGTTTCAAACCACTGGCTCCTTTGAAGACCAGCATCACAGTGGACGGCCCAGAGTGACAACAGCAGCGGAGGATCACTTTATTCTGCATCGTCACCTCATAGACAGATTTTCAACTGCACAGTCATTGCCTCCATCACATCATATGTCTGATCAAACTGTTTAGAATAGACTGCATGATGCTTGGTAGGCATGATTACCTCACAGAGGACCTTTCCTTATACGCCACCATTGCCAGATCGACTTCTTTGGAAGAACCAGCATCGTCCCTGAGCGGCTGACAATCCGTGGAGACATGTCTGGTTTAGTGACAAATCTTTCTTTTTGTTGAAATGTCTTCATAGACTTGTAGGGTCTACCGTAGGCAAAGGGAATGTTTAGCCCAAAATTGTGCTGATGAAGCTTCGCTGCATGATCGTGGAGTTGCACTGGTGTGGAGAATGATCAGTTACGACAGAATGAGTCAGTTGGTGCACATTGAATGTGCAACAGTGTGTCAGTGAAATTCTTCGACCTTATGTCCTTCCATGTTTGGAGGCTCAAAAGTCTGTTGTTCAACTGGACAATGCTGGACACCATTCTGCAGGATTGACCACACATTTCCTTACTGCCAACAACATTCTCACCCTTCCCTGGCCAACCCTGTCTGCGGACATGAGTCATGTGGATCATCTGTGAGATGAGCTGCATAAATCTTCTTGTTGCTGAAATGTTGCTCCAGCCAATTGTCGTGAGCTCCAGGATGACTGGGCAGCCATCCCACAGACCCACATCAGACATCTAATTGCTTCCATGCCCAGGAGATGCCAGTCGTTGATTGATGCCAGAGGAGACCACATATCATACTGATGGGAAAGCCTGTACACCAAAAAACTATCAATGACCCAGAATCAAAAGAACTGTCAATTGATTGGTTGAACCCTAAGGTATTCATGCGTGCATTTTGAACAATTTCACTCATCTAAATTGCAAAGATTTTGAGTGTCAAAATTATGACTGTGTTCCTTTCAGTAGCTATGCATTTCTTTTTGGTTTGTTTTGGAATAGTATATTTACTTTAAAAGAATTGTTTCATATCTTCTGAGGAGCAGCTGGCCGAAGGGTTTGAATGCTGGGCTCTCAAGTGGGAGACCCAGGTTAAAATCCTCGGTGAGGCTGGGAATTTTTACTGTCGGGGGCAAAATAAAATCCTCACCTGCACAGTGGTGGCGACAGCACTAGCCATGCGGCCGTAATTCATCAGGCTCAAATACCCCCCATGCCTACACCGCAAAAGTGGTATAATAAAGGCAGTTATTGGCAGGGGTTTTTTTTTCAAATCTTTTTCATGTTGTCATAAACAAAACCAGCATTGATCGGCTTTGTGGTTTTATTATGCAAATTTATATTTCATTAGTATGCCATTGTTTTGGTAACAGTGTGACGCATATTGTGCATGCTGCTGATTTACAGCAATCAACAATAAATCTCTTATTGAAGGTAGATAACCCCATCCACATATGGCATCACTGTTGTTGAGAGTTTCTCCTAAACTGAAATACTTGAGCCAAAATAAATGCCATAAGGGTTTGGAGAGAACTGCATGGCTGCATCTTTCTGTCTATGAGTGCAATTTTTACCTGGGGATCGTCTTTGGTGTTCATTCTTTGTGCAACACTCTCGACAGGCAGCTAGCTGCTCTGCGAAGAAAGATAGAGCCATGTGGAATAAAACCTGGTCCAACGAAGTCAGTCCTCTCGACTTCAACTTTTAAGTAATGCAGGGCATGAAACCTTGTAGGAGAGGCAGGTGACGACCAGCACAACAGACAATATATCAAGGACACCCTAAGAATTGAAGCTTACAAAGAGGGAAAGTTGGCAGGGGACCTAGTGGCTTTCTGGCATGCTGGGGTATAAATGACATTCTGCAAAGCACCTGATACATGATGATGATGATATGATAACTGCTTGTAAATGCTCAGAATGAGAGTTTTCTTGACTTTCTGAGGTGTAGCTAAATCTGCAGCTTTTGATTTCATAGGTTTGCACAATGATGAAGAAGTCTACTTAACAGTTTTACCAATCAATCTAGAAAAGAAATAATGCATAAGGAGTAATTCATTGCTGATATTTCACCAGGTTCTAAGGGGAAGTCTCATTTCATTCTCTGTGTTGTTACAGGGAGGATCTGCAAGGTGCCGTAGTTGTCAGGTTTGTTTGTGATACCTTTTTGGGCTATCTGTGCCTTTTGGTCAGGCATCCTGACTTTAGCATATTTTTCTGTTTGGATTGTTGTTGATCCAGCGGCGCATGAGTTTCGCCCTTTGGCCCAATGCCATGTAGTGGAATTTACATGTTTTCACAAACTGTTCTTTTTCTTCTGTTTGGATAAGCTTCCTAATCCTTAGTCCATGGTCAATCAGGATCTATCCATTGGACAGTGCAGGTTTGTGATTAGAGTTCCTTATCCTATATGGATTGCCATCCCAGCTGACAAGCCCCCATCTGTCTGGTGTATACCTGTTTTACAAAGCGGGGGCTGTTGAACCTACGCTACAAACTCCCTTCCCTCCCCTTCCCCCGAATCTGCAGGACCAGGAGGGCGTCTCTTTTAGACTGTTCTCTGCGTTTTGACCTTCTTGCCTCAGAGCCACTGTTGACGGTTGCCCTACTGCTGGTATTGCTCTCATAGTCATTGAAAAAGTTACGCTCTCCACTTCAGCAAGGTGGAAACACCCAAGGGAGAGAAAGGAATAGTAACAGTGTCTCTTGGCCAAACGTTTTGCCTTGATATATTGTATTTTGGACAGTCTTTGAGGACTTAATCTGTTGTCTCAGGTGCCAATCCACATGTGCACATGGCTGATTCGCCGATTTTAAATTTTGTATACATGTGGCTTTGAAATCGATTGTGTTCTTATTCCATTTTGTAGAAACTTCAGCCACAAAATCCAACTTTTTTCAAGTCTTGCATGGCTTGATGTGAGTTTCTTCAGATTATATGTTAAAATGGAGGTTAAAGGGCATAAGAAGAGGAAAAAGTCAATCATGGCCTGATTTAAAAAAAAAAATGTTTTTTTTTCTTCCTTTCACAGTCATGAACTTATTGGCAGTTTCATCACAAATGTCAGGGAACTCCATTCTGGCGAAACAAAAGTCTTTGAAGTAGGTAACTATGCAGGAGTTTGCACTAGTCACTTGCAAAGCTAATTATTGTTGTTGAATTATCACAGAAATGGCAACAGTTGTTCTTCATAACATTTATTTAGTATATGTAGATTTTTGCTGCTGGGATTTCTTTAAAACACATCGTATGTTATGCAATTGCAACTGTTGTTCTTTGTATCATCTGCTGGCTCAACTATCACCTGCATACAATAAAGACTGTACAGTCCCCACAGTGTGCCTGTCAGACAGGACCACAATTGCCTGAGCACATTCTGCAGGTCTGCTCTTTACCTACAACTGTGAAGCAAAACCTGGCCTCAAGAGACAAGTTTGCAGAGCAAGCTGTAGGGAACCATGAAGGACCTGCAGCTGACTTGCGAGTTCATAGAGGCAGCCCACCTGACAATCTGACCTGAGCATGCAATGAAACCAAAATCAAAGAAGAAGAAGAAGAAGAGGAATCTGCACTGAGTCGGATTTCTTCTTTTAAAAAGACCTTGGCTGCCTGGTTGAAAGTGGGTACTTTCTAAAGTTCTGGGAAGTCAAGGTGGCAGGTGGAAACTTGAACACATAACCTTTCAAGGGTTTATAAATTTAAAAAAATTTAAGAAATGAGTTGAGCATCATATACACGATGCACCATTAGCTGAAAGGGGTCCTTTACCTTTTTCTGTTTACTTTTTTTCACAGGTAAGGGTTATTAGAATTTTTGTTTTAAAAAAAAATAAAACCTGACACAGGTTGTGTTATTTTATTTATATTTTATCATTTTATTTACAGCTTCATAATCCAAAGATAAAGAGAAAGAAACCATGTGGACGGGTATGTCTGATTGTGTCATTCTCATGCTTTATTTGTCTATTATCGTTTGCATTATAATTTTGTAATAATAATATTAAATTTATTTTTCCCCTTGTGGGTTCCGGGGTCCCCATTATGGGGAAAACAAGAATAGACCCACTGCCTCCCCAACAAGCATGTCTTAGGGGTCGACTACTTGAGGGCTTCCTTTGAAGTTGGAGTGCATTTGCCTGAACGGCAAGGAACAACCAGCTGCACACAAATAAGCCAGTAGAATGGATGCACAAGCAAAACTTAGGCCCTGGTACAAAGCCAAAGTCTAGACGGATGAACAACCAGGACTTTCTGCTGGAGCTTATTGTCGGTGAACAAAGAAGAAGAATGTATTTTGAAAATTGAGTGTACAAGACAGAAAGAGATCTCTGGACAGACTTGTTGAAAAAACATCAACCCTTTCATCCTGGAAAGCCACAACCTGCCACTTTTGATAAGTCCAGTTCACTGAGAAAGCTGCAAAACTAGTGTTCCTACAGTTATTTGTTTTTTCTTCTTCTCCTCTTCCACCTTGGACCTCAGCCAAGTGTTGGGGAAAGATGTAACTTTCGTTGGTGAGCTCTCTCAAGAGCGCTGTTAAGATTGATGTGTCTTTTGCTCGCTCTATGCCTATTGTAACGTTTTAGTGTGGCTTACTGTGGAAGATAGTACCAGGGCATTCTTGTTAGGTGTTCAAACCACTTCATTTGTTGTTCTTTGAAAACGTGTAAGACTGGCTTTATTCCTAGCATTTGTCTGATTTCATGATTTCATATTCTGTCTTTCCTTGAAACTCCTGCAGTTCTTCTAAAGCATTTAATCTCTGTTGTCACAATTTTGTGATTTGTTTACGAGGTGTAAAGTTAATGTGATTGGCTGTGTTCATGCCTGGGAGGCATTAAGGAAGTCAGGATATGGGTACGTTTACTGACAGTAGCAATGGGGGAATGGGGGGGGGGGGTTATTGTGAACTAAATAGCTTTTATCAAGCAATTTTGATGACAAGTTTTCCCATAGCTTCACTGATAGAGGTCACAGGGAACGGCATGAGTCACCAGTTGCATATTTTTTTAGGCCTTGGGGAATGTATTCCATTAATGTTTCACTGTGTTCATGTGTATCTTTATACCACCTCTTCCCCCCTCCCCCAAACCACCTATGTATTTTTAATGTACACAAATATCCTAACAAATTCATTAGTGACCTGGATAATTTTTTTCCTGAGAATTCCCACATATTTATGACACCTTTTTTTTTTAAAAGTGTAACTGGTATGATGGGGTTAAGGCAAGCCATTGGGAGGCAGGCTGATACAAATGTGAAGATAACATATGGACAAACAGAAGGAGAAAGTGTGTACTCGGAGTGAAAGACAAGAGAGTATTGAAGATCTTTTGCAGCCAGCTTTCCTTGTGGTGATGGCCCCTGACTAATGATTCTCTCTGTAACTCTGTTGTTTCAGATTCATGTTTTGAGCTTTCACATAGAAATGCAGAAAACATTTATTGATTACATCAGAGGCGGGTAAGTTACAGCATAGATTTATGTCCATGTGGGTTCCTCGTAAATAGATACTTTTGTAGGGACTGTGAGTTCAAATTCTAACATCTGACATGAGAAACTGGACTAGTGTCTGAGCAAACTCCTGGATATCCAAGAAAACAACTGTATTTGAATCTTTAACCTAAATTGGTCATAGCCGCACTTGCTATCCACAGGAGGAGGAAAGGAGTTTTAGAAACTGTTTCATGAAGAAAACTGAGTGCCCACATCAGAAACAGACAATCTACATTCTTTAGTCATGTGATAAGAAGGAGAAAACTGGACTACAGTGTGATGATAGGAAATTTGGAGTGGAGGAGAGGCAGACCGAGAGAAAAGATGCTGGACAGTTTGATGTCATTGCATTGAGGATTATTTGTGTCCGAATTGATTGAAAGTACACGAGACAGAAGGTTGTGGATAGACATGACTACCAAAGCCACACGGCATGAACTTTTAGAAGAAGAACCAAACAAGGATGTATGTAACTGTCTATGTTTTCTCAGCCTGCTGATCTTGCTACCCCTGGTAGGTTCGTACACTTTGCACTATCTACCTAAAATAGGTGCCGATTGGTCCTTGCCCCCTTGTGAGAACTGTGATAAAATAAACAAACATATATGTTTAGTGCCTAGATCTACACATATTAATATAAAAACATTTCATCTCCCTTTCCCATTTACACATTCTTTCCAGTCTCATCTGAAGGTCTTTTGCATGTAGAGCACATGTGATGACTTGATGTTTGGGGAAGGGGTGGAGAGAGAGGCAGGAAGAGACCAAGATAGAATTTATTTACAGTTTGGCATCATGGCATAAAGAAATATTTGTATTTAAAAAAAAAAAACACTGTTGGCAGTACAGAGACAGAAGGCTGGGGACGGAAAGGATTACCAACACTGCACGGCATGGAATATGAGAAGAAATGGTATGGGGGAAAACATTCCAAAAGTGCATTTCTAAGAGGGGGGACAAAAATGGTAATGAGTTTTTGTAGATGTAGAAGCATTTGCAGACTGCTTTGTATTGGTGTTGACACTGGTATTGAGTGTCGACTCTATGAGTGTGTGTGATTGTTGAAATAAAGATTAGTAGCACCATGACCACTTATATACCAACCGATGCCATTAGTAAGATATCCAGACATAAGTATCACCACCAAGAAACAGATTATAAACAGCATATTCATACTAACACTGTGCTACCAGTGCCGAGCTTGGATATTATTAAAGGCTAACCTATGTAAGATTAGGACCTGTGAAATGAGATGTCCGAGGAAAGGTGCCAGCTCAATCAACTGAGACAAGTGAAAAATGATACTACCAGACAGAGAAAAGAGAAACGGAAGATCAAATGGTTTGATCATGTCATGCCAGAACAATGCAGCCAGAACACCTACCAATACGAGCGTGACACATTGGAAAGATATGGTGTGTAGGCAAGAGGTCGCCATAGGAGAAGATGGATTCTTTTTCTTCTTCTTCTTCTTTTTCTTCTTTTTACCTCTTCAGGAGTTGAGGAAGATATAAGGTGCTGCTTCTTACTCTTCTAGCCACCCAGATTGTACACACATTCAGCTGTTTTAGAGTTTCTGTGATGTTATCTTTACTTCTTGTTTTTAGTCTACCTCATCCTATTTTCCATCTCCCTTTTTGGTAAACCTTATATAGTATGGCATCACAAAGCATTCTCTAAGTGAGCAAACATTTGTTTTGCTCCTTTGTGTGTAATTTAGAACTGGTTCTGTGCTGACTTTTTCTTTTATGCCCTTATTCCTGAATAAACTTAGTTGACTAGTCCTGTCTTTGAGGAGTCACAAGTGATATTTATATCTGCACATTTTTATTTACAGCATGCAGATGAACTTTACAGTGGCCATAGACTTCACAGCTTCAAACGGAAACCCTCAGTCTCCAACATCCTTGCACTATAACAACCCCTACCAGCTCAACCAGTACGCTGCGGCTATTACCGCTGTTGGGGAGATTATACAGGATTATGATAGGCAAGTGATTCCTGTAGGTTAAAACAGGGGGAGATTATACAGGATTATGAAAGGCAAGTGATTCCTGTAGGTTAAAACAGGGGGAGATTATACAGGATTATGATAGGCAAGTGATTCCTGTAGGTTAAAACAGGGGGAGATTATACAGGATTATGATAGGCAAGTGATTCCTGTAGGTTAAAACATTTTTTGTGTGGTCCTAAGTTGAACTGGTCATAATTTGAATTTATACTTTTCAATACTATTTTCATTTAAGTAGTTTATTGTATATAAAACACCACAATTAAACCTATGTACGTAAAATTATTTTACATAATGCGAAAAATACACAATATGTATTCTATTGCATCAGTTCGAGGAACTTTTTGATCCTGCAAATGTAGTTATCTTTCTTTATTTACTGTTTATATTATTTATTTGTTGTGCTCAAAAGTCGCGGAGAAGGTTATTTGTGTATAGGCGATGCTTTACTCTATAGCAAATCACTTTCATTGCAGGGTAATAGGTTGGCGCAGTGACTACTTGGTGCTTGCATTCTGTTCAGAAGGTCCTGGATTCGAATCTGCACTTGGCCAAAATTTTTATAATTGATATTGGCTTCTAGGTTGACTCGGCATAACATGAGTACTGGAAAGTATCCTGGGGAATAATAGCAGTCGGCCAGATTTTGACCACATCCCCCATCAAGTGCCGACTGGCATACAAAAATATAGGTTTAGCACTATATGCGCAAAAGGCTTGAAAAGTGTAATGTACTTATTTACTTACATTTATAGTCTGGGTCATCCTGGCGCGCTCAAGTAAATTTAAAAAATCTGCTCAATTAGTGATTAGAATGGAATGTTGAATTAAGAATACATCACCGCACTCGGGACATTTCAATTAGTGCTCCATGCCCATCTTCAGCAGCTGGTGCAGAGTTCTAATTTTGATGGCACCAGTGACCGTCTGACTGTATATTCGTCTCACCTTTGCCTTGAGTGCTGAGTGTCAGTCAGATTTCCTGGTTGCTCCTTGCAGCACCACTCTTCTCCTCCGACCGTGATGAACTGTTATCCATGATGGGGATTAGAATTTAAATAATTTACCAAGTTTTTTTGTGTGGCTCCATAGCTATTATAGAAGTTAGAAAGTGTGTTTCATTGTGCACAGTGGGCAGTTTATCACATTGGGTCGGGAGTGCAGAGAGTGGCCAGCGGGTGCTACGGAGGTGGAAGTCCAACAGTTGATTCACAACAATTCTGATTATCCATACATATGGTTTGGTTTCAAGAGGAAAGAGAAGTGCCTGAGGGTTTGTAGCGAAAGCCAGTGGAAAACCTTTAGTGCAAAACAGTCTAGCATACGATATCACAACATCTAGCATGAAAATGGAGGTAGAGGCAGTAACTGCTGTTCTCCGGTGGCTAGAGAACAAGATGCATAAAAATGTTGTAATTGTAACAGACTCTGAAAGCCTGCTGAGAAAGGTGAAGACAGGGATGCTTCGAGCAGAGTAACAAGCTTCATGGGGAAGGTAGTGAGCATATGTTGGATCTTTTCTCCAGGCTATGCCGGCTTAGTGGGTAATGAATAGGCAGACAGATTAGCTGGATCTGCACCACACGGTGGTGAATTGATACATGACAAGGCAGATGTGGTCAAGGCCCTTTCGGAACAAGCAAAGGAATTAGTAGAGAAACAAGATTATTGTGGCCTGGGGAGAATAAGGCACCTGGGTGTAACCAGAGGGTCATGGCTAGTGCTGTCACCATAGACTCTACAGGTTAGAATTACATTTTCTTTTGCCCCCTGACATGACAAAAACCCACATCCTTACCAAGGTTTTGAACCTCCATCTCCCACAGGAGGGCCTAACGCTCTTAAGCGTTCAGGCAGCCTCTCTCAGTTTAGTTCTCTGACAGCAAATAACGTGTTTGACACTATTTGTCTTCTACAGTGATAAAATGTTTCCTGCTTTAGGATTTGGTGCCAGGATGCCTGATGGGACTGTGTCTCATGAATTTGCCTTGGTATGTACACTTTAGGAGAGCGATAGATTAGTTAATTGGCCGACAGGTTAGTCTACCTGATGCATTGAGTTATTCAGTCCTTTTGTGCTTCGAGAGGGGGGGGGGGGGGGGGGGGGCTTACAACACCAACACCAGTTCTGTGTTAGTTTACAGTTCTGTTTGTTCCCTGCCTAGTGCTGTTGTCTGTTTCACTGTAGGCATGTGAATTGAGGTAATTTCTGCATGGATTTATGGATTTGTACGAGTATGTGTATGCATGCATGTGTGAGTGTGTGTAGGTATTATGTGTGGTGGTGTAAGTGCATATGTATGTATGAATCAATAGATTGACTCATGCCTGTATGTGTGTACACGAATATGTACCTTTTGTGTATTTTACTTGATATTCATGTTATGTGAATTGTTTTTGTTTGAACATAAAATGCTATATAGATCAATTATGATTGCTGTGTGAAAGATAGAGTCTTTGGAAAGGCCAAATGTGAGACAGGGGTCAAATGTGAGACAGGACTGCGTGCTTAATTTGTGGCCCTTTGAAAATAAAGTTCATTTATTAATTCATTTATTCAATTTGACTTGGCATTTTCACAGTCAGTCTAAGTTACAGATTCACTCAATAACTTGATTCCTTTAGTTGCCTTGCCTCTTAGAAAGCATTCAGTATATCAGCTGGTTTCATTGTTTGTCTGCTTTTCACTCGGGGTAGGATGCTGTTTATGAGCCAGTTCTCCTTGATTATCAACTCGTTCAGAATGTGAAGGTTTTTCCTCTTCCTGATCCAGGGTATTCTAAGAATTTTTTTGTAACATTTCAATTCAAAAGATCCAATCTTTTTCCTCAGTGACTGAGTAAGAGTCCAAGACTCACAACCGTAAGTTGCCATAGGAAAAAATGCATGATCTCAAGATTTTTACTTTAACCAGTTTACTAGTGCTTTGCCATAGCTGTGATTTTCTTAGTTTTATTCTGTCATTGGCAGTGTAATCTTTAGCCATTTTTGAAAACATTTTTCTGTATATAGATTATAATGTTATAATAGTTAAGTTATAACCTGATTTCCTTGTTTAACTTTCAGAATTTTCAGCCAGACAATCCATTCTGCTCGGGCGTGGATGGCATTTTGGCAGCTTACTATCATGCCATTAATAATGTCCAGCTTTATGGGCCAACCAACTTTGCTCCTGTGATCAACCATGTTGCCAGGTACAAGTTAGAAAATAAACACTTGTTTGATGTAAACATCTGTATGTGTCATGTCAGACATGTGCAGTTTTGTTTAAAATTGCTTTATCAATAAATTTCTTGCCAGTTCAATTTCAGGAGGTAAAACAAACACAATTTAAACCTTATTCAACCTCTCATTCTTAGTGTTGTTTGTAATTAAGGTCCTTCTGTTATATTTTAACCCTGTTGCTCCTAGAAGGTAAAATCTTGACACTACTGGTTAAAACACAGAAAAGTAAATGCCAATATGATGCCATTTCTGCATTGACCTGTTTTTAAAAACTATGATTAAATGCCATCGTTTGGTTTGTGCGGGCCTGCTTAGTGAGTGTTTACCTAACACATCATTAACCCTTGACCTGTTAGGCTCGTGGAGGTGTATCGATGGAAACACAGGCACACAAAACCTGCCATCTTTCTCTGTCTTCCACTTATTGAACAAGTTACGCCTGTCCATTATTTGATGTCATTCCAGGTTCTTCTCTGCCCTCCTCTTCTTCGACTCCTGTCCTGACATCGTGACTGTTGCCATATGAAGTAGTGTTTAGGACTCCCGGATGTGAATTATTACCTAAATATGTAATTTAGAGGAGTTTCCATGAGACTAATGGCTTTTTTAAAGCCAGGTTAACTTACATTTTTCCCGTAAGCCTTATTGATAGAGGTCACATGGTACTGGCATGAATCACCTGTTACATATTTGTTTTAGGTCCTGGGGACCGCAGGTTTATTCCCCCCCCCCCTCTCCCCCGCCCTATTTTTTTAAAGCATTTACATGGCTAAAAAGTTAAATCCCTAATCATTTTTAATAGTAAGTATTTCTGGGATTCACTGATTTGCTACCCTCATCAGTCGAGGCTGTTGCTGGTGAGGTTTCTACTGCTTGCATCTGATGAGGTTTCTACTGGTTGCACCTGCAGAGGTTTCTACTGCTTGCATCTGATGAGGTTTCTACTGGTTGCACCTGATGAGGTTTCTACTGGTTGCACCTGATGAGGTTTCTAGTGGTTGCACCTGATGAGGTTTTTACTGGTTGAATCTGATGAGGTTTCTAGTGGTTGCAACTGATGAGGTTTCTACTGGTTGCACCTGATGAGGTTTCTACTGGTTGAATCTGATGAGGTTTTTAGTGGTTGCACCTGATGAGGTTTCTAGTGGTTGCACCTGATGAGGTTTCTAGTGGTTGCACCTGATGAGGTTTCTACTGCTTGAATCTGATGAGGTTTCTAGTGGTTGCAACTGATGAGGTTTCTACTGGTTGCATCTTATGAGGTTTCTAGTGGTTGCACCTGATGAGGTTTCTACTGGTTGCGCCTGCTGAGTTTTCTACTGGTTGCATCTGCTGAAGTCTCTACTGGTTGCAACTGATGAGGTTTCTATTGGTTGCACCTGATGAGTGTGCTCAATCTTCTCAATGATAGCCAGACTAGTGTCTGTTTCTGAAATTTGGGTCTGCATATGTTTTATGTTTATATGCTTGTACTCATATATTTTATGTTCATACGCTTGTTCTCATATATTGGTTATGTTCATGTATTTTTTCTCATATATTCATTTGTTCATATATTTTTTCTCATATATTTTTTGTTCATATATTTTGCTTTCAAATATTTTATACTTTGTGCTCATATAATGGCTTCATTTGTTTTGCCCCATCAGATTTGCCTCTGCAGTCAGAGATGGTTCAGAATACTTTGTGCTGCTGATTATAACAGATGGTATCATTACAGACATGCCTCAGACTAAGGCAGCTATTGTCGCTGTAAGTTTAATTTCATGCAATCGATTTACCTATGCCAGTGATTCCCAAACTGTGCGCCGCAGCGCCCCGGAGAGCCGCATCCTCTTCAAAGTGATGCCGTGAAATATTCAAAGATACACAAGTTGTTTTTTTCCTCTTACATATGAATAGTCAAACTTTTACTTAGGTTAGGGCGCCGTTGCAAAATTGTAATTGGAAAAAAAAAGGTGCTGCGACTAAGAAATGTTTGGGAAACACTGACGTTCGCAATAAATATGCTCTTACACTTTTTCATTTTAAAATTTTAGCTTGAGCATGTTACATCCTCTGAAATTAAGCCTCAGGGATCTTTTGGAGTACAAATTAATTAACACCTGGTCTTATTTTCAGGAAAGAGGGGGAGGAAGACATGTTAGTTCCTAATCTTTGACCTTTCCTGCATGGAATGATTAATGTTGGTGAATTAAGAATCAATATCAAAGCACCCGGGACACTTCCTAAGTTCTCCATCCTTCATAACAAGCGAGTAGTTCCAATTCTAATGGCACCCGTAACCGTCTGTATATCTGTCTCACCTTTCTCTTGAGTGTTGAGCCTGGTCTGGTCTGGTAGTCTGGTAGTCTTAGTTTCAGCTTCATAGCAAACGGGTCACCCCATCTTTGCTCTGCTCCTGTGCCAACGAAAAACACACAGGATGTTTATCACAGTATTAGAATTGCAGTTCATCATTGATGGTAGCAGAAGTCGCCAACAGATCAGCAGTTGCCCACGCGATCAATTTTAATCACATATGGGCACCACAACACTGCACGACAGGTGTTGAGCGTCAACCAGATTCTCTGGTAACTTCCCGCAGCACCATTCTCCTCAGACCATAGTGTTCTGTTTGTGCCTCCACCTCAAAATTATGTAAAAGTTATGGACGTGAAGAGAGATAAACACATCACATTTGATAACTGTCATGTGTTACATACATTCAGTCCTACTATATGGCAGAGAAACCTACAACATACTTGTTGGAGAGGCAGTGGGTCCATTCTTGTTTTCCTCACAATGAGGCCCCAGGAACCCACTCGGGGGATGACCTGATTCAATACAGTAACATAATTTGCTGTGACCAAAGGAACAGTAGATAAAGCACAAAGAGACTGCAGCTAATATTCTCAAGTTGCTTTTTTAACATCTAAATGAATAAATAACTTTATGCTTCCTTTGTCTGAAACAGGCATCCATTTTACCCATGTCAATTATTATTGTTGGAGTGGGAAATGCAGATTTTAGTGGTAAGTGTCACTTAACTGAATAACAAATGTGTGTGTACTAATAATATTTACATGTAACACTTGGTCCTGTATGATTTCACAACATATGCCAGATGCCAAATGGGAACAACAGCCACAAACAATAAAACATAGGTATCTTGCTCACACTGGTCAGTGACCAAAATTAATTCCTGTAAAGTATTCAAATTGATTAATTGTTTCCCTTTGTGAGTCCTGAGTTCTATTTTGGAGAACAAAGAATAGACTCACTCATAGGAGGTGACCAGTTACGGGTGTTTCCTTCAGAGTCAGGATGCGTCTGCCTGAGAAGCAAGGAACCAGCAGTCTGCATACAGATAAACTAGATATGTAAAATAGATGTGCCCGCATAACTACAGTTCTAGATCAAGACCAAAGTCCAGGAGTGGATGAAAAACAAGAACTTTCCCCCTGAGTTTACAGCCGATGTAAAAGGAAGAATTATTGTGTCTGCACAGAATAGAGATAATTAAATGATATGATAGAAAAACTGTCCAAAAGCACAGTGAAGATCAAAATTTGTTCTTGAATTTAAAGAAAACAAAATGGTGTCCACAGATAAAACTGGCTGTCACCCAAAAATAACAATAAATGATGAAGACAATGTCACAAACTTTGAATATCTAGGCTCTAAAATAAACAACAATAGAGACTGTTTAACATAAATTAAAAGGAGGATGGCCATAGCAATGCAAAGATTGAAAAGCCTTAAAAGTCTATGGTTAAGCACTAGCAAGGAGATAAAAATTTGAATTTTGAGAGCATGCATCTTCTCTGTGGCTACATACAGATGTGAGTCGTGGACTATCTCTCAGTCAGCTTTTGAGCTGAAATGCTATAGAAAGATTCTCAGAATATCTTGGACAAAGAATATGAGAAATATTGACATCTTAAAAGATCTGAACATCAAGGAAGATTGGCTATGAGCAGCATTCTTTCTCGAAAGCTGAAGTATTTTGGTCATATCAAGCACCACGACGATTTGGAAAAATTATAGCAGAAGGCATGGTACCAGGAAGGAGGGGCAGGGGCCGACCGACACGACGATGGGCACAGGATATAAGTGACTCCTTGAGTGTGAAAGTGCATGAGGCCGGGGAGACCGAGTTTCTTTCAGGCAGACTGTGATAAGAGCGACGTTCTGCAAAGGACCCCGCTGCTTAATGATGATGATGATGATGATAGAAAATCTAAAGCAGTGCTTTGGGAGAGAATATAACACTCAAAGTGAATCTAGAGGTGAGGAAAAGATGCTGGCATTGAATAGGACACATGTTGAGAGAACCTGATAGTGATGTAACTAGACTGAAACTCACAGCGTCCAGGAATAAAGTCAGGTTCCAGATAATTGTTTAGAATTTTCTGGAAAGGAAAAATTATAAAGAAAACTGGCCACCCCACTTCATATATCGTGATCTAAAACAGTGGTCTCGTCCGACCTTTTTCGGGCCTTGCCTGCCACCCCACCCCACCCCCCCTGAGTATATGGCAAGACCCCCACACCCCCTTGAGTATATGGCAAGGTCCCATCCCCCCCCCCCCCCCCCCCCCACCCAACATAACAAAATGTTATTAAAAAGAGGAGTTCAGTAGATTCTGCCACAAGTGAAACAGACAGTATAGAGATACGTTTGGTGAGAATGTGTTTTTAATCTATAAATGCCTTTGTTATCATTTTAATTAGATTTTTAACCATAGATATACAAATGCTTATGGAAACAAAAAATATCCTTGGTTTGTTTGTTTTATAAATGTTTTTTAAAATATTTATTTTATTTCTAATTAAACTTAAGAAAAAACATAAGAGATCATTACAAATACAAATTCCATTTTTAACATTGCTTGATGGCCCCCCCCCCCCCCCCCCCATTTTTTTTGAAACCTCTTCATGTCCCTCCTATGGGGGGAGGGGTTGGAGACCTCCGGTTTAGAACATT